GAGACTGCTGGATGGAACGAAAGCCGCTTTGGGGATATTATTGTTCGACGGTTCCTAGCAGTTCGTATATTGCCGTTCGGGAGTTTGGAGCCGTTCGTGGATTTCAATCGGGAGATTGTCGCTTCCCCTGCATTTGGTTCGTGGGTTACAGAGTAAGCGAACAGAGACTGTACTGCAGCCGGGGAAGGTTTACTAAACGGCGGTTTGGCTTAAAGACACGGGAGGTGTCTTAACAGGTACAGTGCTTGATAAGTTGATAAGTTAAATACTGCACTATAACAACTCGAACAGGTTCCGTACCTTACACGCCAGTCGCTTACGTTTGAAGCGATTTGCAAACATTACGCAGCTGCAAACCTGCTACTTCAGTGACATACTTTGTGATTGAAGTCTTAAAGTTATTTGACAAGCTGTGTGAAAGAAGTCTTAAAGTTGACAAGCTGTATGAATTGCTGCTTGTGTGCACAGTTACGAGGTCAGATTGATCACAGTGTAAATCTCTGCTCACACAACTGTTAGTATTAGCAAAAAGCTACTATCAGCATGTTTTGCATATTTGTTTGGAAAGCATTATATACAAAATCCATTAAAAGGGTGTCTCTTTAAGGATATTTTATATACTGTAACCAAATTAAAACTTGGTAAGTTCTGTGTTCTATGTGATAAACAGAAATGATAATTAACCCCTTAAGGACACAACTTCTGGAATAAAAGGTAATCATGATGGAATATTTCCGTCATGTGTAATTAAGGGGTTAAAGGGAATGTAATTGCCTCATCTCATTGAAGTGATTATAGGGTGTTGAGTTCCTAGTGCGATCCTTACATTCAGTGTTAAAGCTATTTTATTGTTTTAATGATAAACGAGACTCCACAATAGCCCTCCCCTCTGTCCTGCTTGAACTAATGAGAAAACATTAGCCTGAGCAGCAATAGGTGGCTGTGATTGTCTGAGAGTGTCAGATGACCACTTTTACCCTTTCACCGCTCCCATTACTGGTATGAATTAATATTCATAGAGGAAAGCGTGTAATCTCTGCCTTAGCCACACCTTCATTGGTGGCAAGGCTGTGGGTGGCCACGGACCCTTTTTTAGTTTTAAACTGCTCAAAAATGTTTAACACTGAATGTAAGGCGAGTGCCAGGCACTATAACCAATTAAAGTAGATTAACATTTTGAATGTTTTTTTTCTAGAATATAATGTTTAATAAATTAATAAAGTACAAAAAAAATCAAATGAGGAAAGCACCAAAAGTACCCGTAGCCTTCATTTTTTAACAGCTCTTACCAAATCGTGTTGAACACAAGTCTGCTACACGGTTAAAATTAGCTTTTAATAGGCCTCTTTACTCTATTACACAAACAGAAAAACTCAGTAGAACACATTGACAACATGCCAACTAATCTAAAACTATGTAAACTTAACTGCTATTCATAGAACTATTGGAAGGAAATAGTCTATAAACTATTTTTTTGTTTGTTTGTCTGTTTCCACCATAAATCAATAACGTTTTCCCAAGGATTCACTAAGCATGTCTTACAAAGCATGATTCATTAGTCATTTTTAAGGAAGACTGCATGGAAATGAAGAAGGAGTGCAGAATGATATTAAAGGCAGCTAGACTGTTTTTCAGATAGGTACAGAAATTAGTTCAAATCAAAATGCCTTTATTCTTATAGATGTGAATACAGTACTTTCTGTAATATACTGCCCCAATAAACCTGTTTTTTTTTTTTTTTTTTTGCTACACCTTGAGTGGCCGGACCATTGTCTACTTTCTAAACTGTGAAGTAAGATTTGGCCTACCTCGGGTCCAACTGCACAATGGTAATCACGGGAGTGTCATGTCCTCTGTACTAAGTCATTTGGTTGTGACTGTACCTCTTTCTCCTCTACAGATCTGGATTTTTCTAGTGTAGCCCTGTTGGTCTAAAGGTGAGATTTACATTTGTTTCACCATGCCTGTAGACATCCTTAGGTGTCCCTTAACGGACCCCTTAAAAATGCAGATAAAGCTATTGATATTGTGTCAATGCCATTGCCCACTAGGCAGGGTGATTTTATGACCTAATTATAAATATGTCGCTGTAATTGGTCATTAGCACCTTTTGAATTTTTGCTAGAGCATCTTCTTTATTCTTTTTTTTGTCAGCCACAAAAACATGGCCAAAAATAATAAGCAATAATAACCCAATGCACCTGTATTAAAATAAAAATAACTACGCTATGGCAAAACTCTCCTGAAAAAGAAGCACAATCCAAATCCTCCAGTCTGTTGGCTGAAGAAGCTCAAGAATGAAGAGCTTTTGTGACCAAAGAGTAACCAGCAATATTTGCCACTAAAACCAAAGGCAAGTACTCTTTAGTAATTCTTCCTTGTATTGCTTCTGCTTTCAATACTCTGGGCCATTGACTTCTTATTCTCACTCTCCATTGCCTTGGTCTCTGATCTAGGTCCCTCTGCTCTTTCTTATTTCTCAATTTACCTTATCTATTTGTTATGTGGAAGTCATTTTCAGACACTTTACCTCCTCTTTGCCACGTCTTTCCATTGGCATTCTCCAAGGCTCTGATTGGGGCCAACTTCTTATCTCGCTACACAGCTTATTTGAGTGATATGATCTCTGCCTCTTTAACATTTTTATACTGAAGATATACAGACCATCCTTTCTTTCCCTGACCTCTCTCCTTCTTTATTGGATGCTCTCATCAGAGTTATCTCTGGCAGGATGACTGAACATGTCTGGAAATGTAATATCTTTTAAAAGAAATTCTCTTTGCAAAAGCTAATCCTCCTCTTTCGGTAGCCTTTTGGCTACTATTTACTGTTCCCTTTGACTATGATCTTACTTTCACTCATACAATGTGTCCATTGTAGGTCTTCTGTTTTCATCCCCCTAAAAAAGAGTTCAGCCAAAATGGTTTACAATTTTTGACTACTGTAACCTAATTCTCGTTGGTCTCACTCATAATTTAAAGAATGCTCCTGCCTTACTTACCTTCCCAAACTCCCACTTATTGCACACCTCATCCTTCGATCACTCCAATTATCTTTGGGTTTCAATTTAAAATGCTGGAACAACTAACAAATGCCATAGTGTCTATCTCTTCTTTTTTTCTATTTCTGTTATGTTTTTTTTTTTCTCATCTGCACTACCTGCAGCGTTCCTTTAACCACTAGTAAAGTATCAAAGGGACAGGTAAGTATTTTTGTATGTTTTCTTTTCACAGATGCAATTTACCTACAAAATTACTGGAACGGTGAGAATACATTTTTTTTCAATCTTTCTTTTATTGAGATGATAGCATTATACAAAAGAGAAAAATAGTAATTCAGAGCATGTCAGCAAGGTCAACATACAGGGTTTGTCCTCTATTACTCTGAACGAGAAAGAGTGTTTTTTTTTTTGTTTTAGAGTATATCACAGGCTAGGTAACAGGCTGAGGATATGTGTCTAGATTGACAATAGAGCATATTCTTCCAGAAGGATAAACAGTCTAGACTAAGGTAAGCAAAATTAACTATTATAAAGCATTATAGTAAAACAAGGCTTGTGATCTGCTGGTGCAACCAGTGCCATAGTGAAGGTTGGCAAGAGGATCTGCATCTAAGGAATACATTAGGAGAGCAGTCCGCCATAAGTGACAGTCAGCTGATGCCCTGACTAAGCAGACGTCTGCCATCTAAGTACCGTCTATTTCGTTGAGTAATATTGGGAGACCAAGATGGGTCTCCCTCCATGCCCCAGGCCTGTTGTAGAGCCAGCGCTCCTGCGATATGAACTCTGCTACTCTGTGAGGCCAAGTTCTTCCCAATTGGGAATGTGCTGAAGTCTATTTCAGGTTTGAGTGGTATTTGTCGGATTTGGCTTGGGTGCTTCTGCTTGTACGGCTGGAGTAGTGGGGTTGGTCCCCGTTTGACTCTAGGCTCAAGTGGGCTTGTGGGTAGCTTGTCTATCGACAGCGTGACATTAGAATCGGCTACAAGGCGCCCCATAGGCCTCACTTCTTGATGTCTCCTTTCCCCTGTTGGCAAAGCGATTTCATTCTCTGCTCGGGTTCCTCCATTCCTCCAAGGCTGCCCAGAAGCGGCTAAAAGATGCATCAATGCGATCCATGATGCTGGAATAGGGGATTGTGAGGTCAGCTTGATGTGTTGCGAGCAGGGGTCAAGTCCTGGGGAAAAAAGTGTGGGAACTCACCCAAGATTCCCGCTTCCAACCCCCCCCCCCCCTTAAAAAAAATAAATTACACTCCTATGCATATAGTGCAGTGCAGGTTGTGTATAATGAATGTAGTGTGTTTGGAGTGAATGCAGAGTATGAATAATAAATGTAGTGTGTTTGTAGTGAGTGCTGTGTGAATAATAATTGTAGTGTATTTGTAGTGAATGCAGAGTGTGTATAATGAATGCAGTGTTTTTAGTGAGTGCAGAGTGTGTATAATGAATGTAGTGTATTTGTAGTGAGTGCAGTGTGTATAATAAATGTAGTGTGTTTGTAGTGAGTGCAGTGTGTATAGTGAATGTAGTGTGTTTGTAGTGAGTGCAGTGTGTATAATGAATGTAGTGTGTTTGTAGTGAGTGCAGAGTGTGTACAATGAATGCAGTGTATGTAGTGTGTTTGTAGTGAATGCAGAGTGTGTATAGTGAATGTAGTGTGTAATGAGTGCAGAATGTGTATAGTGAATGCAGAGGGTGTATAGTGAATGTAGTGTGTTTGTAGTGAGTGTATAGTGAATGTAGTGTGCTTGTAGTGTATAATGAATGCAGTGTGTGCATGTGCTGGATGATGTGTGTGCGCGCGCTGGATGACGTGTGTGTGAGTGCTGGATGATGGGTGTGTGAGTGAGTGCTGGATGATGGGTGTGTGAGTGAGTGCTGGATGATGGGTGTGTGTGTGCTGGATGATGTGTGTGTGAGTGCTGGATGTGTGTGTGTGTGTGCTGGATGATGGGTGTGTGAGTGCTGGATGACTGGATGATGTGTGTGTGTGTGCTGGATGATGTGTGTGTGTGTGCTGGATGATGGGTGTGTGTGTGAGTGCTGGATGATGGGTGTGTGTGTGCTGGATGATGGGTGTGTGTGTGTGTGTGCTGGATGATGGGTGTGTGTGTGCTGGATGATGGGTGTGTGAGTGTGTGCTGGATGATGGGTGTGTGAGTGAGTGCTGGATGATGTGTGAGTGAGTGCTGGATGATGGGTGTGTGAGATGAGTGCTGGATGATGGGTGTGTGAGTGAGTGCTGGATGATGGGTGTGTGTGTGTGGATGATGTGTGTGTGTGGATGATGTGTGTGTGTGTGCTGGATGATGGTGTGTGCTGGATGATGGGTGTGTGTGCTGGATGATGGGTGTGTGTGTGCTGGATGATGGGTGTGTGTGTGTGTGCTGGATGATGTGTGTGTGAGTGTGTGTGCTGGATGATGGGTGTGTGAGTGCTGGATGATGGGTGTGTGAGTGCTGGATGATGTGTGTGTGTGTGTGCTGGATGATGGGTGTGTGAGTGCTGGATGATGGGTGTGTGTGGGGGGGTAAGCATTTTTTTACTTTATGTATAATTTTTATTTTATCCCCCCTCCCTGCTTCTTACCTTGTCAGGGAGGGGGGAGATCGCCTGGTGGTCCGGTGGAGGGAGCCAGCCGCTGCACAGAGGGGCCATCACACGCTGTGTTCCCTCTCCAGCTCTAACTCTCGCGAGACTCGCCTGTGCGGAGCGTTGCCATGGTAACAGCCGCGGGTCTCGCGAGAGTTATAGCTGGAGAGGGAACACACCGTGTGATGGCCCATCTGTGCAGGTAGCAGGGCCAGTCCTGCAGGACAGGTAATGGGAACGGCGTTCCTGCTGTGGAAAAAGTGCGGGAACGCCGTTCCCATGCGTTCCTGCAGGACTCGAGCCCTGGTTGCGAGGCCTTGTGCCTTTAGGACTCTGGCATCCGCCATCCGCCTTTGCCCAAAAATACATTTTTTATGTAAATTGTAATAGGTTTATATTTCCCAATTATTCTCTTGAACTAGTTGTATTCAAGATAACAGCAAGAGGTTTTTATCTAGTTTTTAGATTAGTGGTTAAATATAACTTCAAAAATGTTACCACTGTTTTAGTGAAGGATGTGGCGGGACCGCTGCCTGTTCGTGAATTGCTATGTGTTATTCCCAGTGTTTTCCCCTGTATTGTGTTATATTCGGATGAGTTCCATTCACCTTCCGAACGGGGACCACCACAAAACCTCATTTAGAATGTTGTCTTAGAACGTTCACACCTCGTAACGAGGTGTCAAAACCGCAATCCGTAAGGAAAGGCTCGGCGCATGCCGGACCTGGGTGGCGGACCGTTCGTTAGACGAACGCCATCTAGGGGGAGCATTCGTGGATTGCTGCCCACCTTGTTCGATTCCCAAACGAGGACCTCCCCAGTGCCCCTTGGAGTGTTCACACCAATCAAGTAGAATGTTGGCAACTTGCAACATAAGTGTGAAAACGCAAGGGAAGTATTTAATGAGTGCTTCCCTGGGCGTCCGCTGTTTGTATAGACGAACGGCGGTCAGGGGGAGCATTTATGTCCCGGAGAAACTTCCCTTGCCTGGCTTCGCCCCAAAAAACCCCACGAGCAGAGGCGGTTACCGTTCTGGGGTCTCTGAGATTGGTGTGGACACTCTCTTGGGGAGTCACAGAGGTGAGAAACTTTCCCGCGTTTGGACTCCCATGTACAGAAGCTCTTGGGATAAAGATCCCCTGGTTACCGGAGGTGGTAAATCCTGAGGATAGGTGGCGAGAACTGGGGACAAAGGGACTGGAGTTCCTGTCACACGCACAGGCCCCTGGGAGCGAGAGGACCATGGGAGGGAGCACTGAGTGGCGGGAACAGTGGACAAACGGATTGGGGTTCCGGTTGCGTAATGCGACCCCCGGGAGGTGGAGGACCCTGGATGGTGACGTTGTTGCATGTGATCCACCCCTTGCATGGGGAAAGTATAAAGCCGAGTGTGGCCAATAAAGTTGTTGTTGTACCCCAGATTACTGGGTGGGAAATGGGTCTCTCTGTACTATAACCGATTCCCTTCCAGGGAAAAGACTTGGCTGAACTAGGACAACTGGACAAGTTGTCAGCAGGCCCACTACAACTGGTGGCAAGCGATAAGATCCCATGTCCCAGCCACATAGCAATGACCTGGGCCACCGCACCTCCACCTATGTCTCTGTTCATACCCTCGAAGAAGCTTACCCTGTGACACCCCGGCAGCAGGCCTGCAACCCCCAGCACGGCTCACACACTGTGGCTCAGGTAGGCATCCAACCCTGTCCCTTTACCCCGGCCTCTTGTAAGCCCCCCTTAGTAAGCCAGCCACCTGGGCCAGTCCCCCCAAACCAGTACCCTTTCAATCTCCCTGTAAGCAGACCACCAGGGCTAACCCCTGTACCCCAGTCCCCAATATTGCCCTGAACACCCCAGCACCCCTTTTCTGGGATACTCCGGCTGAGTGTGAAAGAGAGGTAGCATGTGACCCGACCCTCCAGGCATGTAAAGACCAGCAGACACGGGTCGGTTAGGGAAGGAGGAGGAGCAGTACCTTTGGGAGCAGGGACGACTGTACTGCATAGCGGAGAACAAGAAATCAGGCATAGCTCCTACTACCACCAAGCAGTTGGTAGCACCCAGGAAATATCGACATGGGCTGCTGAAGATAGCTCATGATATTCCCCTGGCAGGGCATTTTGTACAGAGCCAGACCCTGAGTCGGCTCACGCAAAGCTTTTTCTGGCTAGGCATCTCTAAGGATACAACTTCTGACGAAGCCTACCGGGCGAAACGCGTAAAGTGGACTTTCTTTTATATATTTTATGTTGATATTATGTTTTGTTTGATATTAAAGTATACTTTTAATTAGTTACTTTTATATCTATTTTTTACTTCCTGGATTCTGCATATCCTTGGTGGGGATTATACCACCTATGCAGTTTATACTAGAGAAAGTTACATGCTCAGGAAATTGTAAGTGCATTACCAAATTTCTATTAATTTTATTAATAGTACTTACTTCACTATTGGCTGCTATTTTTGTTTTTATTACACATATTGCACTTCGAATTATCTGGACCAATTGGAACATCATATCCTAAGAGACCATCTCATAATATTTATTGTTACTGTACTACACTATTATTTCTTTTATTTTTATTTATTCAGAGATTTCAAACTCATTGGAATTACCTACAAGTATATGTATGTATCATTTTTAAAAGCATGGTTTACATTTTCTTCTTTCATCTCTAAGGATATAAGGCAGTGTTTCCAGACCTGTGATGTCTGCCAGTGAATGGGGAAGCGGGGTGACCAGCGCAAGGCCAAGCTCCAACACCTCCCCATCATAGTCGACATCATCGCCCCCCTGGCTAAGCCTAGCCCCTCTGGGAAGAAATATATTCTGACCATAGTGGACTACGCGACTCAGTACTCCCTGAGCAACATTCAGGCTGACACTGTAGCTGAAGCCCTGATGCGAGTGTTCTCCCGGATGAGGTTTCCCCGGGAGATCAATTCAGATCGGGGATCCCAGTTTACTGCCGAAATGACCGTCCAACTGTTGACGGCATTAAACTGATCCCGAGCTCCCCTTACCACCCTCTGACCAATTACCAATGGCCCCTTGAAGCAAATGCTCTGTACCTTTGCAGTGACTCACAAGGATTGGGAAAGATTCCTGCTGCATCTCCTATTTGCATATCAGGAGGTGCCCCAGGAATCTACAGGATTCTCCCCGTTGAACTGTTCTTCGGGCAAAAAGTGAGGGGCCCCCTAGACCTTGTCTATGAGCATTGGGAGGGAGCTGGGGATCTGGAAGGTACCCCCATCAACCGATATGTGCTGGAGTTTAGGGACCCGCTGGAGAAACTCACCCACCTGGTGTAGGTAAACCTCCAGTCGACAGCGCAGCTGGTATGATCGGGGTGCCAGGAGCCATAGCTTTCAAGTTTGGCAGAAGGTTTTGATCCTGAAACCCATCCAACATGATAGGCTGCAGGCTGCCTGGCAGGGCCCATACCAGGTAGTGGAACAGAAATGTGACAGTACCTATGTGATTGGTCCATGTTCGGGTACCGGAGTCCGACCCCTGTTGCATGTCAACATGCTGAAGCCCTACCACGAGCAGACTGAGGATGTAGCCGCCATATGTGCTCCCACCACAAAGGATAGCTATACAAAATGCAGATTGCAGGGCTGTTCTTTGTGGTTATTTTGCCAAGCATAGTCAAAATTAGCACTGAAGTATGCAATTTTTATAATTCTAGTATCTCCATTTGAAGCAACAGTCTGGCAGCCCTTCCCAAGCACTGGAACCAAGGTAATACATCAATCAATACATGTTTCATTTGTAATCTATTATAATGCAGTTAGTTTCTCTTATTACCTGTAGCCTTAGTACATGGCAGGATTGCCTGTTGGCAGCGATGGATTTTCTCTATCCTTTATTTAATGTGGCAAATACTTTATTCTAACGTGGAAGGTTTAGTATAAATCTTCTGTCCAGCTTGTGTTCTGAACATGCTTTTACTAAAACCTAACAGTATCTATTAATTATAACTCTGTGACACCACAAGTAATATAATATGAGTTGAGTTCCGTGTTCTGTGATTCATAAATCACAGTAAAGAGGGAATATGACATAATTTGGATTATTTATGGTACAGTTCCACATCTTAAAAACATTAAGCATTTTATTTTTGCTTAATATATTAAAGATAAACTTCCACATTTCACATACAATATAATATTTACCATCACAAGTCTAAAAATCTAGACTGTATCACCAGATTATATGTGAATCGTGGCTGTTCTCTGTAGTTGCGCCATATTGCAGTGAGTTATGTACAGTAAAGTATTACACATTGTGGTTAAGTGTAAATAATGTTTTAAGTTTTAAAATGTGACCCATTTGTCCGTAATTACACTTACTGTGCCAGGACTGAACTGGATTGTAATATTAATTGATACATTTTTAATATTTAAACAAAATTGAGCATCACATAAAAAGGTGATCACAGGTTAAAGGTGATTTTCAATGATGTAATTTCCAAAGAAGTGACATTACTCTTTAATATACACTAAAGAATGTGAAATGAAAATGAGGAGATTACAAAGTTAGGACAGAAAGGAAGGAGAGAACCAGGTTTCCACAGTACACTTCAATCAAATTCAGCTGGGAACAATTAT